CATGTCCAACATTCCTTTTTGATCGTGTCGGAATCAACCTTCACGGTCCGATTCCCTATACTTCGAGTAGCAACCGCTGGTACATTGTCACTATAGACCGCCTAACGCGGTACGCTGGAACAGCTACTTTACCTTCTGCTGCCGCAAAACACGTTGCATGTTTTATACTGCAAAGCCTGCTTTTAAGGCATGGAGCACCTCGGGACTTACTAAGCGACCGCGCCCGCCTTTTTTTCTCCGATGCCATCAAAGCGTTGTTAAGCGAGTGTCGCATCATACACCGCACTACCACAGCCTATCACCCGCAAACTAGTGGGATGACAGAGCATTTTAAACGTACACTTGGAGATATGCTGGCCATGAACGCTTCATCCGACCAGTCAAATTGGGATAGCATACTGCCTTTTGTGGCATATGCATACAACACTGCAACGCAAAGCACCAATAGATTTTCGCCTTTCTTCCTTCTTTATGAACGCGAGCCATCATACACAATAGATACTATTTTTCCTTATTGACTAAACCCTTCAGAGTTAACAACCGTTTTACGAGCAGCAGCACACGCTGAAGAATGTCGGAAGCTTGCCCATGCGTTCACGTCACACGACCAGACGCGCCAAAAACTTCGCAACGACACGTCAACCACGCTTATGAGCTTTGTTCCTAACTCACTGGTGTGGCTATGGATTCCTTCTACTCCTCAGGAACCCTCCCACAAGCTTTCGTCCAAGTACCATGGTCCCTATCGAGTTGTACGCCAAACATCCCCTGTCAATTACCTTGTCGAGCCGCTGGACGCCTCTCCGGACAAGCGCCGTCGGGGACAAGAAATCGTACACGTTACTCAGCTCAAGCCACAACATGACCCTTCTGTGTACACCTGTCCTTAGGTCGCCAGGATGGCTCCCTCGTCGCCCGGTGGTGATTGTAACGAGAGCCGCGGACACGGAGCTCGTGTAGAAAAAGAAGACGCACTGATATCACAGCCTTGCATTCAGTTAGCCCTTGCGCTAAATAGATTTTTTTCTTCGCCGAGTGAACTCCTGCTTGTTCAACACCCTGTTTCAGTAAAAAGAAGATAAGAAACTTCTTTTTGGCAGGATGTTTTCTACACTTCTTTCTTTTTTTATATCAAGAGAATATTCGCTTTACATAATTAGGTAGCACCCATTTTTACAAATTTTTACATATTTAAATGCAGTAACTAAGCTCTCTAGCCAGCAATAAAAAATTAGCTTGCACAAATGCAGCGTGCGCCTGCGTGGCTAGAAGAATTTTCCTTTTTTTGGGCGTGTTTACCCGCCGCTCAGTCGCCTATCGAGCGGGTTTGAGTCAATTTCTCTCATGTTTTAAATGTGTCCTTGCGCTTTGCGTTCCTGTTTTGTGTTCTTCCAGTGCTGCTGATTACGAAGATGTGCTATACTCAAGCGAATACGTAAGGCTTTGTATTGTGGAGCACTCACCAGGTATGTACCACAATGCTGCTGTCGGCGCTTTGTTGTCATTGCATTCACCACGTTTTTCCTACCATGTGCACGATGAGAGAGCGTTTGTTTACGTGGGCACCCAATTTTTCTGCAGTATTTCAGCAGTGTAAAGGCAAAGTTGTGCGGACAAATGGAAGCGCGGACAAGTTTTTTCTTTTGTGTGAAGTGTGAAGCATGCATGCTCAGTGGGAATTCGGCGGCAGATTTGAACAGAGTTGTGGCGACTGTCCGCTTTTGTCAGCAGTGGTGTTGGAGGGGGGCCCTGCTCGCGAGTGACCACTATATTTGTTTATTAATTCTGGGGCGTTAGTTAGCTGTAGGCATTGATCACGCTTAGGGCACGTAAGCATTGTTTTGACACATCTGCATTGTAGAAATTGCATTTTCCTTCATAAAGTTACAACTGTGTTCGCCGAGAATACCAAGAAAGTTTTGCTTGTTATATCTGTAGTTTCTGCACACCCTGCTTGTTTTAAGACACATTGTTCCAAATCATTTTAAATATACTGACAAATTCAGTTTTGCTAAGAGACACATGTCACTCATGTCACTAAATTGTTTCTTTGGTGTTTCCGTCGCAGCCTATGCATGAACCTCGTACGAACTGAGTGTGAAAGAATTGCGTACAAGCCTGTCATCAATGATGGCTTGTGGAAAAGTTGGCTACTGAATCCACAGCAGCTGCACATGGCTTCTGTTTCCAATAGAAGGGGAACTTCACTGACGCACCAGGTTGCTGTATTCAAGTAGCTCGCATGTTCGAGACGTTCAATATTAAGCCTTTTGTTTTTCTTTAACAAAGTCAGTGCTGTAAGTTGTGTGTGTAAAGCCACCTTTGCAGATAGCTAATGTGTTCAGGGGAACACAATGTCCAACAAAAATTATCACTGTCATCTTTGCCCTTGAATAAGATTCAATGGTGAACTTATTATTGAGCGCTGCAGGCGTCCGTGCAGCTTAGAAGTGTGGCAGCTTGGGCTCTGAGGTATGGCATGATGATAGTTATAGCGCGAGAACAAAAGGGCAACGCAGAGACAAGAAGGACACGCATGTCCTAGCGCTCGTGTCTTTCGTGTCCTTCTTGTCTCTGTGTTGTCGTTTTGTTCTCGCGCTATAACTATCGCCAGGCCATGCGCGTATTAAAAATTTAAGCCAGTCACACTTCTACATAGGTATAAAGAATTCTGGCAAGCCTGTGCTCAGATATCCCGCTGGAAAGTTTAGTTGTGGCTTGCATCATTATGCATACAGGACAGTGAGCACTAGAACACAACTACTACTCCCTGGGGTGCCGCATATAATCTGACCATGGGTTGAAGCCATAGACAAGCATTATAATGGTTACCTTTTTACTGCCGGATGGTGATAGCAAGCACTGATAGCAAGGCAGTTTTCTGTTCTAAGGGCTAAATTTTATTAAAAGCACAAATAACGTCTTTGAGTTTGTCATTGCTGCTTCCTAACGCTTTGTGTCATGTTTAAGTTTTGTGTAATCTGCAGTTAGTCACTTAAAATTGAACTTTTTTCATTGCAATAGGGCTGTAGCAGATCAGTGGTTTATTTTCACTGTAATATTGACTGAATATTTTGTTTTATTGTTTTTGTAACCTTTCTTAATTGTCTTTTCGAATTTAATGCCGTAAGTGCAATCAAGGAACTTTTTACTGTCATAAATATTCATACCTATCTTTGCCTATACCTAACCATGTGTGATATATTACCGTGATGCCTAACCATGTTTAACATTGTTAATGATGACTACAGAAAGCATTCTGGAATACTGTAACGTTTCTTATTTCACAGTGATTTTGTGCAAGCATTTTGGGATGGAATTAGAAGTCGGGGGGTTGCGAAAACCACAATTTGGTTGTTAAACACAGATTTGTGGTGAAACCCATGAATTTCGACTACTCATCATTCTAACATAGCTAATTTAAGCGCACTGGGTGAAAATAAAATCAATCGTTCGGCTGCAGCTTTTTGGTTGTAACAAACTATCTACTTTCAGATATTTGCTACTGGGCCAATGATGTGTTTGCCAAGGCAGCCTGCTAATTTTTGTTACACTGATAGAAGTCTGCTCGAAGAAAATAGGTTGTGCCTTTTTTATGTGTGCAGGTTTCTGGACCAAGTATCTGACCAGCCCCTCAATTGCTTTCTATAAATATGGTTACTATGAAACATACAAGTTTTGGGACAAAGTCTGCAGTCATTGTTATGTGTAATGAAGGTTACAAGTATGCAACAAGATTTGTTGAAATTCAGCGTTTACTTTTGAATGTGCAGTATGATGCATTCCAGTCAACACCAGAAATAATAATGAGTGGACGTTTAAAGCCCGTCTTGATTCCAAGCAAATCATAGTATCGTATTGATAGATAGTAGTCACTAATCATTTTATTTCAACAGACATGACACTAATTTTGCTGGTTGGAATAGTGCCAGCAATAATTTGATGCCAAATTATATCGCTGTCTTTACTTGTCTATCTCACCAGTGAACAGCTAAATACACTGATTGTAAAACGCTGACATGATGCAACAAATTAACCACAAAAAACGCTCAACAAGCTAGTTTGCATAAAAATAATGCCTAAAAAAGGTGTTAAAAGATCTAGCAAAAGACCCTTTAAAATCTTGGAAAGAAGTTTACTAGACTTTTAATATTATAAGTATAGTAAACGTTTACAAGTGTTTTTTAAAAATCGAGAAAGATGTTTTTTTTAATTCTTTCTAGACGTTTTCTAGCCGTATATTAACATGGCCTTAGCACAGCTACAGTAGGTTTTCAAGCTGCTTAGGTTTAACTAACATCTCAACAAGACTTCTTATATACTTTTGGACTATCCTTTTTGGACATTTACTAGAAGTTTTTTAGCTTTTCTTGTGTTTCGTGATATCAGGGCTCGAAATGGCCGGAAAGTGCCAAGAAAAGTGCTGCTTTGTCGGTAAAGAATTTGTGTTCCTAGGACACGTCATTCGCAAGACTGGAGTCAACCAAAGCCCACTGAACATAGCCGTCAGTTTTTTGTTGAGCTACGCCAGTTTCGACGCAACGGGAGTTGACTGCTAGCCTTACTTCATATAATATTCTAGTTTTATGCAATCGCAGAACTGGCTTCGCCGTTGAGCCCAAAATGTGGCACTTCCGTTTGAACAAAATTTGAGCACACCTATACGTTGAGAATAAAGAACCTGGTAAAAAGCAACCTTTAGTTAGAGGGAATCCTAAAGACTCAGTGTACATAAAAGGCAAGCCTCGTAATAACGTATTTCTAGGTGACCAATTGAAGAACTGCGCCTGAAGCTAAATGTTTTTTTTTGTATCATGGATCGCAATGGTCAATCTTCAGCCGTTTTCATAAATATCAGCATATACACAATGTGAGCTAGGTAAGTAGTTGCACTCTAAATGAACATATTGCCGTGATATTGACTTATCGAAAGTGGGAGATGATCATCCTACGATGTAGACGGCAACAGAAGGGGTAAAAAAAGCTAAACTGGAACGCACCCGTTTTTCCCCAGCCATCGCTGTCGAAAAACTCCGTGGTCTCTTCGGAATGCTTGTAGTACCCACGCATGACTGTTGGTCCGCGGAACCAGATCTCGCCAGTTTGGTTGAGACCAAGCTTTTTGTAAGACACTGGATCCACGACCTGTGAACATCGTGTATTTACTTATTTACAAATACTTCATTTTTTTGAGGGATTATAAGAGTAAAGGCACGAACAATTACAAAAGAGAGAATAAAGAGATTGCAGACATTGGTGTTTCTCTCTCCCTCTTTCTCACTATATATATATATATATATATATACAGAGAGAGAGAGAGAGAGTGTTAGTGCAAAATAGAACACTGAAGGTGTGTAGATAGTATGACATTTAATATGTGGCAACTAGCACTGAATCTTGAAGCGATTGTTTCAAGTTCTAAAGAAAAAGGTTACTTAAATAACCTTTGTTTTAGAACTTGAAGGAATCGCTTCAAGATTCAGTGCGCAGATGTGTTTGTATCACGCAGGTGTATACTTATATGAGGTGTCAGGGTAAAAAGCGTACATCGATAGTTGTAAGTTACGAACATAAACGATAAGATTACTACCAATTGCAGAATGATGCGCCAAGAAAGAAGCAGAAAAGAAGCATAGGTGAAAACCAGGACCGTCTTCTATTTAGCACAGGTTGGTTACGTTTGCAACGATAGTAGGCTTTTTACTACCGAGAAAGTGAATACATCCAAGGAGCTGGTACTAGAAAGTCTGTGTGTGCTTATGTCGTGATACCCGAGTTTCACTTCTGGAAATGTATCTAGAAACATTAATGTTAATTTGCTTATGCAGAAGCTAATACAAAAGCTTCGAACGGACTAGTACTGATCGGCTCGGTAGTGTTAGAGTCTTGGCATTCTTGAGTTAATCAGAGGAAGTCTGTTCTGTTATACTTATATATTTTTACAGGTGAGAGATGTTTATTGTACAGGCGGGATGATAGATACCTGATGCAGCAGTCAGGCCTGACACAGAACGCATTCACCGATTTTTCCTCTACCCCACTTCAACGAAAGTCCCATATTACTTCCCCCGTTACAGACGATGCCCACTGGGCGAGTTAGTGTCGCGCGTGGTATGGCTTCAACCGGGCGACATGTACGACGTCACTTTCCCTGGAGCGATGTCCAGAAGATGTGAGGCGTGATACCACGTACGTAACGTCACTAAGGTGTGACGAAACGACGAAGTGACCTGTATATCGGGCCAGAAACTTTTGATACAAACCACCCTTGCGATATAGAGTCTACAGCCACAACATACTACCTTTGCTGTACGACACATGTCGACGTCGCTTATCGTAGCGAGCCTTTGAACGGTCTCGGGCTGTGAAAGTCTGGAGACGCGCGATGCGCCGTGCCTCCTCTGCGCGACAGAGTGTCTCTGCAAGGGATGAGTTTTCTTGCTCTGAAAACAAGAAAATTGTGTCGAGGGTAGTACGTGGCTCACGGATGTAGAGAAGGTAAAACGGGCTAAGGCCGGTGGTCTCTTCTAGCGCAGTGTTGTAGGCGTAGGTCATAAACGATAAAACATTGTCCCAGTTTTTAGCTTGGAATCAACGTACATAGCGAGCATGTTAATGAGCGTCCTGCTAACATGCTCGGTCATACCGTAGATCTGTGGATGGTATGAAGTGGCGTGACGAAACTGGGAAGCAGACCGGCGAATCAACTCTTCCGGTCATGGTCACTTCCGGCCACGGTCGCTGATGATGGCACGAGGGTACCCATGCCGGAGGATGATGTAGCGTAGCGTGAAGTCACAAACGTGATCGGCTGTTGCGGCCGAGATCGCTGCGGTTTCAGCATAACGTCTACACAGGTCATCTACACAGACTACAATGCAGCGGTTCCCAGTGATAGATCGTGGAAAAGAGCCCATCAAGTCAATACCGACGACCTGAAAGGGAAAGCGTGAAAGTGGTATGGGATGGAGAAATCCTGTCAGTGCACTTGTTGGACTCTTGTACCGTTGACAATGTTCGCAGCTGGTCACGTATTTAGCTGCTGCCTGACGCATGCGGGGCTAGTATCAATGTGTCATGTGCGGTGATAGGTCTTGGCGAACCTAATATGCCCAGATGTTGGATCATCGTGCATAGCTTGCAGCACGTTGGGTAGCAATGATATGGGGACAACCAAAAGTAGGCGGGCCCCTTTTGCAGCAAATTTTCGCTTGTAGATAATGCCATCCTAATGACGAATGGGCTCTGATGCGGATTATTGACGGCAGGTGAGAAAAAAGGAGCCAGACTTTGGTCTTGACGTTGTTCTGTACAGAACGCTTCCAAATCTGGAAAACTTAAGTCTAGAGTGGCCAGACAGTCGTCTGAATTGTCGGCGTCACATTCAGTCGTGGGAAGGGGAAGCCGCGATAGGCAGTCAGCGTCCGCGTGACGGCGGCCACTCTTGAAGCAAACATAAAAGTCATATTCTTGCAAACGGAGCGCCCGTCGTGCAAGACGACCAGTTGGATCTCGTAGACCAATGAGCCAACAAAGTGAGTGGTGGTCTGTGACGATGGAGAATCGGCGGCTATAGTTGTACGGGCACAACTTGTGCACGGCGAAGACAGCTGCTAGACATTCCTGCTCTGTAACAGTGTAATTGCGCTCAGCTTTACTCATAGAATGGCTCACGTAGGCAATGACATGTTCGGCAGCGCCGTGATGGTGAACTAATACTGCGCGGATACCGATTCCGCTTGCGTCACTGTGTACCTCAGTTAGGGCTGACGCGTCGAAACGACGAATAATAGGCCCAGAAGTAGGTAGAAGCTTCAGCTGCGAAATTGATGACTCGCACTCTTTCGTCCCCTTGAAAGGTACGTCTTTGTTGAGAAAATGATTAAAAGACTCAGAAGCATCGGCGAATCTTGAGACAAATCGCCGAAAATACGAACACAGGCCCGGGAAGCTTCGGAGTCCTCGTAGTGAGCATGGTTAAGGAAATGTGCTGACCGCGGTGATTTTGTGGGGATCAGGCGGAACGCCGTGCTTGTCTAAGAGATGGCCAAGAACTAGAGTTTCACGATCAACAAAATTGCACATTTCGGAATTCAAGCTAAGGGCTGCTTTCTCAAGACACGTGAGAACGACATCAAGTCGACGATTGTGTTCTTCAAACGTGCGGCCAAAATTACAACGTCATCAAGATAGCAAAGACATACTTCCCATTTTAAGCCTCGGAGAACTGTGTTCATATAGCGTTCAAACGTGGCTGGAGCGTTACATTGACCAAATGGCATGACTTTAAATTTAAATTAACCATCTGGAGTTATAAAAGCCGCTTTTTCTTTATCGGCAGAGTGCATAGGGAATTGCCAATATCCCAATCTTAAGTCTACGGAACAAAAGTACGAAGCAGAGTGTACACAATCGATAACGTCGTCAATGCGGGGCAGCAGATATACGTCTTTTTTGTAACTGAGTTGAGCCGCCGGTAATCTACACAGAATCTCCAAGACACATCTTTCTTTTTTACACGTAGAACTGGTGCTGCCCAGGGGCTAGACGACTCTTGTATAACTTTCTTAGACAGCATTTCTTCCACCTGCTCAGCAATAACTTTACGCTCCGACGCAGATACTCTGTATGGTCTCTGATGAATGTGATGGGCGGAACCAGTATCAATCGCATGACGAGTGCGTGATGGTGGTGCCGAAATTCTACGGCTATTGAGTGCGAAATCAAAAACGAATGCATAGTTGGAAAGGATCTGCACTAACGCTTGTCGCTTTTTTGTCATCACTAGGACAAGCCACGTCAGATTTATTTTCCTTTTTCCCGTCGTTGCTGATGACTGCAATGTTAACGTTGCTTCTAACGTCAAACTCAAACACAGCCAGCCTTATTCCACCAGACAGTACAATCGGCTCTAAAGAGGAGTTGACCACCCATACCAAGGATTTGCCACTACTTGCAGAAATCACGCAGTGCGGCACAACCACATCCTTCTTCGCATAGTTCAGCTGTATTGGGTGAACTATATCGTCAACGTTATCTGCTGTGATACCACAAACATCCACAGGCACTTGAACTATCAATTGGGCCGGTAAGACTATGTCATCAACGACGGCGATAGTCTGTACATCGCGTGAGCCCTTCACAAAAACAAGACAGTAAAACTTCGCCAGCTGCGCAATCCACAATGGCTCTACATTTTTTCAGAAAGTCTATCCCCAGGATAACGTCATGAGTAGAATTAATAACAGCAAAATCTGCCCTAAACAATTTAGCGCCGAAACTAGCAGTTGCCGCACAAACTCCCACTGGGTGCAACGGTTTTTCACTCACTGCACGAAACGTTGTCTGGCTTCCCCAAGAACACATCACCAATTTTTTTGCCAGGACGAGTCTTGAAATCTCTGCTCATGACGGAAACAGTTGCTCCTGTGTCGATTAATGCGGACGTGGGGACATCATCTATAAGAACACTGACCCTATTCTGTACTATTCTGTAGCATGGAAACTGGCGGAGGCATTTCTGTACGCAGTGAAATATTTCCGGTGACCTTACCTCTATCGGCCGCGGCGTCTAGTTTCCCGGCGAAGGAGAAGATGTGAGACACCGACGACCGGGTGATGGTGACCAATGCTGGCGGGTGGAGGCTGGTGGCTTCACACTCCGCACAGAAACCGGCGAATCGCAGCGGAAGGTCTGTTGGAAGTCGGTTTGGTTGTAGCCGTTGGGTGGCCAGCAATAGTCTCTCCGAGTACTTGCGCGTCGTGAGGATGCCGGGGGTCGTTGATACTGCGGCAGAGGTGACCGATGCCGCTCTGAGCAGAAGCGGGCTATATGTGCACGAACGCCGCAGTAAAAGCTCACAGGTGCTTCACGTCCCACTCGCTGCTGAAGATGGTCAGCGGGATAATCTTGCCACGCTGCCCTATCGGGGGGTGACCTTTGCACGGAGTCGTTTCACGGATCATACATATGGGCATGACGGCACAACTGTACCGGCGTCCTTGAGTCGACCAGGCCCACAGCGTTGATGGACGAAGGCGGGGGGCCGCATGGCATATAAGAACCATGGCCATGTGCTATTGACGGTGCAGCAGCGTCCCGCTGATCGAGTTCTTCGTGCACTATTCCTTGTATTGTTGACGCC